AAGAAACATTTTTTTTTTAGTAAATGGATAATCAATCAGGCTGATAGTTGATTTCCAGAAATCGAAGATCGTACATTATAATATTACGTCGCATCGTACTTACCTCATCCAAAGTGTTTTGGCATGATCTACCAAAGTTTCACTTGGCATGAAAACCTCGGATGACTCGGCTTCTTCACATCGTCGGCCATATCTAGAAAATAAATAAAACAGAACGTTATATTGTACATGCAATAAAAATACCGCAAATCCGGAATGTGGTAAACTGCTACGTACTTTGAGGTTCGAGTTGTTCTAGATGAAGAAGGTTTCTTCTTGCGGTCAGTTTTCTTTTTGTTACACTTGGCATTTAATTGCGAATCAACGCCATCAGATGAGATACGACCTTGTTGCGACGAATTTAACTTCTTGGTATTAACAGTATTGCTGCTACTGCTACTGGTACTCTCACTGGTCGACGCCTCGGTAGTACATGCATTACCGGCACTAGAGTATTTGTTAAACTTTTTTAATTTATATTTTGGCATTTTATTTAATTTAATCTTTGTTTTGAGTTTGTTTATTCCAAAACCACGCTTTTCTTTTTTTAAAATTCTTGAAGTCTCAGGATAACAAATTGTATTTCTTGACTTATGTGATTCGGGTTTCAACAGTTTTGGTTTCTTCTTTGGTTTAATATTATGTGAAAGCCCAGTATCCAATCCCAACAACTCTTTAATGTCTGGTATTTCTCTTTTGGTACGTTCCGCCGGACCGCAGTTTGACTTATCGGGGATTTCTTCTATTTCCAATTTTTCTTTTTTAATTTCATCGATAGACTTAATTTTACAATCGTCCATCTTGTTGCTGGAAGCCGTTGATGAGGATGTTGAGGGGGAGTCTTTACAGAGATTAAACGCCTTTCTTTGCAGGCGAATGCTGCGTTTAGGTGTTGTAATGGAGTTCGCTAATTGGGATGTCTTTGATTTGCGACGTTTCGGGGTTTGTGGAGAGGTTTCCCTTGACAGATCAATGTGAAGTCTTCCTAGTTTACTGCTGTTGTCACTATCTGCAGAAGATGCCGTTGTGGATTCGATGTTTGTTGACGGTAGAAACCCCACTTTCAGTAATTGTTCACGGTCTACGTCTGCTTTCTTTCCTAGATAATTAACTGAGTCTACACGACGACCGTCCAACAGTTCTTGTGATTCATTGGATGACTTACTCTGGGAATCTACTGCACTGTTTTCACTGGATAGTGCCTCTGGACTGAAAATAGGAAGGGCGACCTTTTGAATTTGACACACATTGGATCCAAATTGAGTCGTATCTGCGGTATTATTGGGATAATCGCTTGATACGTCAGCGAAAGAACTGAACATTGTCACGGATCTGGATAGTCTGTCGTTGGAATAATGCGACTCGGGTAGGCAACTTTGCGTTGAGCAGCCATCCATAGTTCTGCCACGAGACACAGATAGGTTCGTCAATTGTTCCTGGCTATGTTCAAAAGTACACGAATCTGAATTAAGGGGTTGATTCCGGGAACATGTGCTTGATATATCCGAGCAGGAGGAGAACAATTCCACTTGAGCTGAACATTTGCTGAATATGCTGTTTTGTGTCTCACAGCTAGCGGGTTCTTGGGTGGACGACAAATTGCTAAGCAATGGGCTGTCTGCTGTCTTTTCATCTCCTGAATAGGTAAAGTGACTCTGGCCTGACCCAGTCATAGCAGTTTTAGAACTATCTTGGTTTGATCCACCTGCTTCAGCTTGTAATATCGTTGACGATTTCGGGTTCTCTTTGTCGGACAGTGTGCCAGATATATTATGTTCACAATCTATAGACGTATCATTGGATGTTTCAATAATTCTACAATGGCAATCCATAATACAGGTCTGGCACGAACTAGGTGATGATCTATATGTTTGATTAGATAATTCACGAGATTCACCTGTTGCCATTTCGTCTGGGGATTGCTCTAAACCTTTTTCTGACGAGTGGTTGTTTTCAGTGTTTATAAGTTCGTGGCCATTTCCAACGGGAAAATTGCGCTTTGTATGAACTGTGTGCAGCAATGGCCTATCGGCAGAGAGACGCTTGCTTACATTCCCAACGTCTTTGTGTGAACTGGTGGTATCATTTTCAGATGACATATCGGTATTAAGATGCATTTCTTGGACACTAAAACCAGATTCTGAACCCATTGCCGATGATTTCGTAGTACTACTACAAGATCCAAACAAATCAGTAATCAGCTGTTTTCTGTATAAGGAATGTTTATGTCCATCATCTACACTCCGAGTTAATGCTCGAACCCGATCTTTCCCTGCGTTCAGATCATTATCACCGCACTTGGAACTTATCGTTGAAGCTTCCGATGAACTTTCAGAACTACAGCTTTTATCAACAGGGGGTGTATTGGGTCTTCCGCAAATATCAGTAGAAATGTTTTGTTCGATGATTGTGGGATTTTCAATACTTTCGTCTGATGATGTATCAGTAGAAATACATCCGGAACTTCCCAGTGAGCCGCAAGAAACGTCAATAACTTTAACACTATCCTCACCTTTTTCTTCGTGAGGGATTTCGGATGCTTCGCAACTATTTGCATCGGGGGGAGGGGATACAACATTGGCGTCCAGTCCTTCTTTAAAAAGGTTAAAATAGTTTGATTTGACTTCGCCATCCTCAGTAGCTATGTCCCGTGCTGTAAATGGTTGGGTATCTGAACAAATAAAGGAAAAACCTCGTGAATCCTCCGATTCCGAAAACCTTCTACCACAATGTTTAATCTTACAGCCTGTCGATGTATTGTCCTCAACAGACTTGAATTTCACTGGTTTAACATTATCTGATGCGCACTCGCGGTTGTTTTTACTTTTTGGCTGAACAGTATCCCCCACGTCATCGCTTTGACTCAGGTTTACAGACATCATTTTAGTTTTTTGTAAATTTTTCGGATATCGCAGCATAACCGGCAAACCGTCCCACAGACCATCCTCATTGAGTTCACTTCGAAGACGTTTTCGCCTAATATAAAAGTACGCACTTTCGACACTGGGTTTGCCTTTGGCCTCGTCGTTTTTAACACTAGGACTTGACGAAGTCGGGGTTGTGTTTAGTGTCTTATGTGCTGTAAAAGTTTGTGGGGAATGCGAGGATCCTTCGTTGGCATCGCTTAGGCGCTTTAAAGGATATGTCTTGTCTACTATGTCAATACCAGTTGGTCTGTTTGGTATTGTTTTAATGTAGTGTCTGGTTTTTGGTCTTTCGAAATTTGAAGTGGATCTATTGCCAGCATTAGAGTGCCCTACACATTTCGTTTTAGCAATGGGCTCATTTGCTGGTGACAGATTTCTGGATTCAGATCTTGAATGTTCTTTGTTCAGTTTTTCAGATGTAGACGATGTGGATGATGTGGAAGACTGAGAGGAGGACGATGAGCTTGATGGTGATGCTTTTGGTGACTGCGAATAGAGAGATAACAAAGTAATGATCAAATATATAAATACATCAAAAATTAACATTAAATAATTTTCGATTCCATCTCCTTTCATAGCCCACTGGCGTTGGTCCTATTTTTGTTGTGCACTTTCAGTTTCAACGTATTTTTAATTTTACTTATCAAAAAAACTAATTTTATCAAAATATTTCATTATTTCTGTTTTAAGCACATTTGAAGTTCATATGATTTATAAACTATGTCCAACAGTTACCTTTTCTACTTTTGTCGACTTCTCTTGTTGGTCATAATGAATAGATCTTAATCTGCGCCTTCTGTCCATTGTAGTATTATAAGGTCTTGGAAATCCACAACTTTCTAAATGACGTAATATTTAATGACGTCGAACATGGAAACGTCTCCATGACGTTTACTTATTAATTCTAACAGGGTGATGGGAGAGCATATAAAATAAAATGACAACAAAAATATTTTTATAATCGCTAAACCGTTAGTTCTGGTGATTGCCCTAACACGGGGTAGAGTGTGGAGGTTTCTCTAGGACCCGGGTTTTTTCTCTGTAAAATCGTAAGACAGAGCAAAAGAAACATTTCTGGCCACGGTGCACATAGGGCCTACAGGAATCTACTTAGCCGCCCCTCGCCCCTGCCCCTGCCCCCCCTCCCCCGCCCACTCCATTTAAAAAAAACTATCCGCCACTGGTCACAGCACTTTCTTACCACATCATGCCGTGAACATATTAGGTTAAAGTGTCGCCTGCAAGGGAATCAAAGGTCGTTTGTCACCATACAAAACGTTTACAAAACCAAATTGTCGGAATCCGCAAACCAATAATGAATATAGCAGAACCAGGGGTGTTATAGCGTGCACCTGGTCCATAACATGACCATCGATATTCTGCATCAAGCCCCTGTGATCCTTATTCACCATAGACTTCTGTGGTGGTACAGTGAACCTTATCTCCTGGCTTTAATTGTAGGCTATGTCAATAAATTAATCTTTTAGAAATCATAGCCAGGGTAAATTGATATATTTACAGTTGATTTTTTTCATTTTATTTTTTTTTTTTCATTTATTTACTTTTTTTTTAACGTTTGCTGTTTTCTTCATTTGGAAGAGGGGGGGGGGGGTGTCACGGTGGCTATGGGTAAGACGCTGGCTCGCTAGCCTGGAGGACGGGTGTTCGATTCTTGCATTGGCCAAGAAAGTTCATCCAGATTATCCGGCGTGATTTCCCCTTGTCAGTGCTGCAGGACGGAGGGCCTGACAAGGACAGCTGTCTAGTCCTTCGGATGGTACGGAAAACCGAGGTCCTGTGTACACATTGGCGTGCACGTAAAAGATCCCTTGGCAGTTGGAATTTGATATAAGAGTAGGCCGTAGCAACGGGCCAAATTTCCATAGCACAATGTATGGCGTATGTCCGTCTTCATTAGCCCAGTTTAGGAGCAGAACAGTAGGACGATAAACTCCATTTCATTTCATTTGGGAAATATTCACACAAAAATTACGGTAGAAGGGAGGTAACTCCAATTAGATTAGTCAAAAATCTTTTGTGGTGCATCACGACAGCAAGCAACATGGCAGCTATTTCTGTTCGGAAATTGGTGAAGGTTGGATTTTATTTTAATTCTGTTGTAAATAATTTCATTACAGACATAGTTATTGATTAAATACTACAAATAAACTTTATATTATTTGTAGGATCCAGTATGGATGGTTTTGAAGAGAAATATCTCCATGACACCAGCTCGGTTAGGAACACAGGTGAGAGAATCGTTATAACAAATTTGACATTGGACATTTGTTTTACAGTATGCCATGTTTGTGTAGAATACCATTTAAATCGAGTTGTTTCAGACAGTTTGAATGCTTTGTAAGACTGTGTTTAGTCCTGATCAAGTCTATGCCAGAAGTTATAACTGTTACCACCATAGAATATAATTATTATAATATGGTAGTGGAGCATGTTCATCGAGTTTTTCATTGACCTTGACAACAACTCTTTTAAAGAATTTCAAATAAAATCACTAAAAACTAAGGAAATGTTAGTCAGTATTGTGAACAATAAAAATCAAAACTAGATATGCAATAACAGTCGAAATTTGCCAACTGTTTTAAACGATTTGCCTTGAATTGACATGGACGAGATAAATTTTGTTAAATTATTAATATTGTTGTGGTGTGCTAGGATTACGCCTCAGATATATTTAATTACCCTTTGAGAATAAGACAAATGTTATAAGCTATCTCACCCATGCTTAAACTTCAATTCAGATTGTACACAAATAGGATATTTTTACAACTTTGATCTGTTTGGAATAAAAACTAACTAAATTTCCTTTTACTAACTTTTAGTATTTGGGAGTCTGTGCAGAATAATTGACTTAGGCTGGGTTTTTGCTTTCACTTTTATAACACTCTTTTCTTCGTACACTTTGAAAGGGTCAATCTTTTTATGATTATTTACATAATTAATCCATCTGTATTTTAATTAGATGACTGTTCGTGATGCACTGAATTCTGCCCTAGAAGAGGAATTAAAAAGAGATGAAAGAGTATTTTTGATGGGAGAAGAAGTTGCTCAATATGATGGAGCTTATAAGGTTGGTTTATGTTACATGGCACTCTCTCTGTTGTAATTTGGGGGACCAGGCCATGGTAGTTGACCTATTGATATAGGATGGTATGGAAAACCATGGCATAAACACTATACAGACAAAAGAACCCTACATGTAGGTTAAAATGCTACCTTGCATTGCACACACACAACCATAGAATTTCTCTCAAAATGGTTGATGTATTGTGATGAAAAGACTTTAAAACCTGTTCCATTTCCATCTATTGTATTATATAGAATATAAAAGATCAGTGAGAGCAGGGTTTCAATCAGAAATATAATATATTGTTGACTGGCCACTGATGATATTAAATAAAAATGATGTTAAATTTTCTGTCATTGTTTTCAAATAAGAATTTTAATATAAAGTAACTTTAAATTTCTTTATTAGTCTAGTTATGTTATTGTAGCTAATGATGTCCGTATTTGATAGTATACCACTGTATAAACTATTCTTCTATTGTTCTATTGAGGACTCTGGACGAAATCTAGTACTATTCAGTTCCGAGATGTTAAGCTTAGTAACTTTATGGGTATTATTAAAGATGCATTATGTAAGAGCTAATTCTGTCTATGCAGGTCTTTTATTTGGTTTCAAATGTTATATAAACTATTATATAGACATTTATTCACATGACAAGCCTATAGTATAATCAATTCTCTGGACCATTGGATGGCAAAGCGATAAACCGATTAAAACATGATCGCCATTTAGTGATTTAATTTAAGAATGGCAAATCGAGGCCAATTCTTGAATAACAAATATCGTTGTTTTGATACTAAACAAACTATGCCACATCTTTTCAGATATCAAAAAAGTGATAACTTCACTTTGACTAGACTAAAGTAATTTGAATGAAATTTTCAATATATTCATTTTGCCTTAATTATTTTTGAACTATTAGAGCCAGCTCTGAATCTAAATCTTAAATAATTCATCTTTAATTACTAGTCCTTAAAACTTTGCTAGCATGTACATGTAGATATTAATTTTAGATGTAACTGACAATTTCGTGCCAGACATGCTTTATAATAAAAAAAATATATCAAAGAAGAAATTTTGCCATCTTTAAAATGACAGGAACCAGATGAATTGTTACCGACAAACTTTGAATTTATGTCTGACAATATTTGTGACGCGAGTTTTACTTCCAGGCTTGGTGTACTGTGTTTCACTATACATGTATGTCCAAATATGATAATGTATGTAAATGCTAATGACAGTCATTTTGTTACAGTATAACTCTTATCTCCCAGGTGTAAAAATGTGGAAATAATTTTTCAGGTATCCAAGGGGTTGTTGAATAAATTTGGAGAAAAAAGAATCATAGACACACCAATCACCGAGGTATTTTATTATTACATGCATTTTAACTTCTGGTGCTAACTGTGACGATTGTAAACTGATGAATAAAGTCATTTCATTTTGTTTAAAGTAAAATATACAGTTTTTCATCTTTCCATTGAGCAACGTCTTCAATATTTCTTAAGCTCAGTTACTATGTAGCTGGCTGAGTACACAAGAAAGTTGCTTGGATTTTCCAGTCTAGTTTTACCTTGTCAGTGGAGCAGGGCGAGAGGGTCTGCCCCGGAAAAGCATCTAGCTGTACAGATTGACAAAAAATTGATGTGCTGTGTACATGGAAATGACTTTATCCAGTCAAAATTTCTTTCAAAAGCCACTGCAAAACATATATCAGTCTTTATTAGTTTGGATTTTGGAATTAAACCATATTTCTGGTTGTTACGGTTGAAACAATGAACAGTGTAGATTTTATCTCTGTCACTAATGCAATCAATTATCCCTTATTAAATATGTATGACATACAGTATCAATATACAGTATTAGTTATCACTATGTCTCTTTAAAATAAAATGTTTTTATTTAATATTTCTAGATGGGGTTTACTGGATTAGCTATTGGCGCCGCCATGGTAAGATATTGTGTTGTTTTTATATACCCCCACATTTTTATGTGGAAGTATATTATTGTCGCCCCTGTTTGTCCACAATTTGTTTGTGGACACTCTACAGGTAACAGTTTTTTATCCAATTTTGACAAAACTTGAAGTATTGGTTAATCTCCCAAAGGTCTTGGTTCCTTTCGAAATTGGACCATAACTTCATGGATTCTGTCCCCGGATTGTACAAAAATCACATTTTTAGCTTAAGGACACTCCAGAGGTCGCAATTTTTATCTGATTTTGATGAAACTTGAGATGTATGTTTATAACCCAAAGATCTCGGTTCCTGTCGATATTCGTGCAAATTGAATCGTATCTTCCTGATTTATGGCCCCAGATTGTACGAAAATCACATTTTTAGTTTGTGGTCCCTCTAGTGGTCACAAATTTTATCTGATTTAAAAATAACATTTGAATATATCATCGTTACACCATAATGATGTTTGAGTTCGAATTTCATGAAAATCGGATCCAAACGGCGCGATAAAATTGACGCTCCTCATACTCTTACTTCCTTGACCCTGATTGTACGCAAAATCTAGTTTTAAGCTTCTGGTACCTCTAGAGGAAACAAATTATATCCAATTTAAAAAAAACGTCTAAATATATCACGGTTGCACGCTAATGTATCTTAATGTTTTGATGGAATAAAACAAAATACCCTTAATTAAATCATAACTATATAAACAGTTTTTAGACAAGGAGGGTTGGATGGCTGAATGGTTAGCGCGTGCACATTGTATCATAAGGTCTGTCATTGAGTCAGCTGTCGTGGTTTCGATTCCCCAGTTGTACGTGACAAGGAGTTGGATTGCTTAAGATGCCTATGCGCAAGCGAATTATTGAAATTAAATTGAACCATATGTCAGTCCCAAAATTACCTAGTTTGTGTCAAGTAGATGTTAAACTCCATTTCTCTCTCTCCAGTTTTTAGACAATTTGAATTTTGCAGTCTTTGTAAAATTATTCAACTTATTTTTGCCATTATTAGCATATATAAGTAAAATAATTCAAGGGAATGAGTAGAATAGTTATTTCTATTTTTCTTCTTTTATTTCAGGCTGGATTGAAGCCTATTGTTGAATTCATGACATTTAATTTCTCCATGCAAGCCATAGATCAGGTATTGAACTTAAATTATTGTTGATAGATGTTAAAGTATCGATCAATAAAAAGTAATGAAAATACAGATAGTGCTAAAATTATAAGGAATGTAATTAAAGATAAATTATGGGAGATTAGATAAATAGCTGACAGTTCTCACTATAATAGTTAAAAATTAGATAATGTAAAGGGAATTTGCTGAAAAGTTCAGTCAAATTGACACAGTCTGAACCAAGATTTTACCGATTGAATTTTCGTCCTAGCCTCGATCATCATAACCAAAGTCGGTACGATAAAATACATAGTCTCGATTATCCATTTCATGATTAAATCATGAATGAAAGTTTAGGAGCAAATCTGATTGTAATCCAATAAATATCGCTGGCTAGCATTGATTATGGTCTGGATAAGTTAATTAATGTCTAATTAATAATTTAGACAACATTTCAGGCCAAAAGAAAGATCTGCAATAGGCAGATTTAGCTCTTGTATAATGTATGTTTAACTAAATGACTGACAGTTAAGATCTTTACATACTAAACTGATGTCCTTAGAAAAACTCTAGATCATTGTGAAATGATATGAAAAAAAAATCTGTGGTTCTTGTAGTTATTGCTGATGAAATTTACTTTATGTTATTGTTTTTTTTCTTCAGGTGATAAATTCAGCCGCTAAAACATATTACATGTCGGCCGGAGCGGTGAGTTTTATTGACATTAACAATTAACATTTTTCAAAAACTTTGAATTATTCATTGAAAATTAGAAAATAGATCTGTTTTAATGATTTTCTTGATTCTTTCTTTTTCGGGGGAGGGGAATTTTTGTTAGCATTTTATCGAGAAATGCCGGATATATTCTAGTGAATAAAACTTGGGGTGAAAGACTAGCTTTAAGTTCACAAATTTGTTCTTTTTATTTCCCTAGGTACCAGTAAATATTGTTTTTCGTGGACCAAATGGTGCTGCTGCTGGTGTGGCCGCTCAACATTCTCAGTGTTTTGGTGCTTGGTTTGCTCATTGCCCTGGTTTAAAAGTTGTCTCCCCTTATAGTTCAGAAGATGCTAAAGGTTTATTAAAGGCTGCAATCAGAGATCCTAACCCAGGTTGGTAAACTGAGTGAAGTAAATGTAAAAAGGTTTAATTCTAGATACCTTGCTTATCATGGGAAGGAACCACAGTGGCTAAGTGACTAAGACGTTGGCTTGCTAGCCTGGAGGTTGCAGGTTTGATCCTGGTGTTGGCCGAGAAAGTTTATTGGGATTTCCCAGCATGGTTTCCCCTTGTCAGTGGTGCAGGACTGTTGGCCAGACATGGACAGCTGTCTAGTTGTTCGAATGGTACGGAAAACCAAGGTCCTGTGTACAAATTGGCATGCATGTAAATGATCCCTTGGCAGTTGGAACTTGATATAAGAGTAGGCTGTAGTGCCGCTGTCCTTGTAAAATTTCCCCCATAGCATACTGTATGGTGTATGCCTGTCTTCATTAACCCAGACATAGTAGAAAAGTAGGATGATTAACCCCATTTCATTTATCATGGGAAGAATTTTGATAGTATTCAGCATGGAACAAGAAAAACCTTCAGGATTATCGAAGCCTGGTTACCACTCACCAGGCTTAGTTTCTGTTGGGCTGACAAGGAAAGTATGTCCTGGCAATTCACATGTATTAAGAGAAATAAAAATTGATGAAGGTTAAACTCCCATTCGTTTTCTTTAGTTTTCTATTTGAAATATTTATATTATGAGACCTTTTGTTTTGTAGTTGTATGTTTAGAAAATGAAATTTTATATGGTTTGCCATTTGAGATGTCAGATGAAGCAATGGGTGAAGATTTTGTTATACCTATTGGTAAAGCTAAAATTGAAAGAGAAGGTAAGTTTAAAAGTTGTGTAGTTCTATTGAGAGCAAGTAATAGATGCAGTACATTCTGAACATCTGAGACACGCTACCTGCGGAGAAGTATCTTAGACACAGTCAGTAGCCATCACATGATCTACACATCACAGGTCATGACATTGGCGTCGATAGGTTTATCTTCAGCATTGTGTCCGTTGCACCCATAAAGACTATATAATTCGTACAGTTCCAACATGTTCTCTCTTCTTCCAATGATTTTTCACAAAAATAACATCTACAACTCATAGAATTGACGTTGTCTTCAATGACAGCGTCTGCGAGGGTTGTTCATAGAGGCAGCCATATTGCACTATTTTGTGCGTCGGTCGGGTCTATTTCAGATATACACAATCAATTCTGTTGATGTTTTTAGCGTTGGGATTGACTAATGGTTAATGTGTTTCAGTTCTAAAACAAATATTTTAAACTTTAACGCAAATTTAGAAAATAGCCAAATTCTGGCTGGGATTACTGAGCAAAATGGCCATTCACTGTATACGTGCAAAAAAAAAAGCTAGCCACCAATTAATTTTCGTACGTTAGTTACGTACGAGTTGCAGTATTTTGAAAGGTACTATGATTTAGAAATAAAAGAAATAGGAAAATCAGCAAGATTTTGGGATATTGATCAAATGGTAGAAATGTATTATACTTTGTTTAGGATCAAAGTAATCTATTTGTATTCTAGTTGACAAGGGGATTATCTGAACAGTTTCTAACGCTACAGTGTTCTTATTCTACAGTATAGACTAGGTGATTATCTGAACTCTCTCAAACACTATAGTATACACCAGGTGACTATCTGAATTGTTTCTAACACTACAGAAAAGACAAGATGATTATCTGGATGATTATTTTGTGTTTTCAGGTAAACATGTAACATTAGTAACACATACCCGATATGTTGGTATTTGTTTAGAAGCAGCAGAAGAATTGGCTGGTAAAGGTGTAGAATGTGAGGTATGTCTATAACTATTAGAAATTATATTCATTAAAATTTATTGTCACCATAGAACAATAAAACCGGGTTTCATATCTTTAGTGAAGATATACATAAAGATTAGTTTGTTTCTTTTATATGCTGACATATATTGCTGTAGCCAGCGTTGTATCAGTTCGTCCAACTTTTCTTGTGAATGCTCACATATTTCTGGTGATATTTTACCTTTTAGAATATGTGAATTTGAATTAAGAAGATATTATTCATGACGCAATTAATAATATTTGTGTTTCCATGGAAACAAATTAATTTTTCTTAGTTCCCCGGAAATTGTCGATTTTGTTTTGCTTTCTCAGAAGTTTAATGCAGTACTGGTAAATTTGATCTAATTGTGCAGATTAGTTTCAGATATGAAATGTCTTGGTTGTGAATTTTAGTTAAATTTTAGTTTTCAAACCATATTGATTATCCCTTTATTTCAGGTTGTTAATCTTCGATCTTTACGACCTTTAGATGAAGAAACTATAATAAATTCTGTTATGAAAACGAATCATTTAATAACTGTTGAAGGAGGCTGGCCACAATATGGTGTAGGTGCTGAAATATCTGCTTTAGTTTCAGAAAGTAAGTAAAAAAAATAAGAATTTCACATTTTTTGGTTTTCTCAAAATTTTACGGGGTGGGGTGGTTATATTATAAGGTCTGTAGTGTTTTTGACTTCCCGCTTGTACGTGACAAGGAGTAGAGTCGGCTGTCCAAGCTTTGCGTTTTTTTCGGTTTCCTTCCACTACTACAGACCCCAATTGAATTAATGAAATAAAATTGAACCATATGTTAGTCCCGAAATGATCTGGTTTGTGTTGTGTGGATGATTAATCCAATTCCTATCTCTTTTTCTCAAAATTTTAATATTTTATGTCATAAACAAAAAGGGGGTTGGATGGCCGAATGGTTAGCACGTGCGCACTGCGCTGTATCATACAGTCTGTCATTGAGTCAACTGGCGGGGTTTCGAATCACCAGTTATACGTGACAAGGAGAAGGGTCGCCTGTCCAACCTCGTGGGTTTTCTCCGGGTCCTCTGGTTTCCTCCCACTGCTAAAGACCCGTACGCGCAAGCGAATTATTGAAACAAAATTGAACCATGTGTTAGTCCCGAAATGACCTAGTTTGTGTCGAGTGGGCGTTAAATCACATTTATCTCTCTCTCTCATAAACAAAAAGGCCAGATTTTGATATTTTCTGTATTCGTGGTGGCTCAGTGATTTAGGTGCTCACTCACTAACCAGAGACTTCTGAGAAAATTCCTCAGGATTTTCCAGCGAGTTCTCCCCCCTTGACTGGTGGGCAGGACTTTGAGTCTGGCAAGGAAAAATCATCTTGTCCTTCAGTGTGGATAGAAAATCAAGGTCCTCTCATATATTCCTTGACGTGCACGTAAAAGAACCCTTGACAGTAGGAATTTGATAGTGTATGCCCAGAACATCTAACGTGTTAAACCATATTTCATTTCATTTATGTGTCTCTTTTTGTCCTATTTTTCAGGTTCAGCTTTTAATTACCTTGATGCTCCGATACTTCGTGTGACAGGTGCCGATGTTCCCATGCCCTACGCTAAAACACTAGAAACTAATGCCTTACCACAAGCATTCAACGTGATCAAAACTGTAAAAAAATCGCTGAATATACCCTGATAACAAATTATGTGTTTAGAGTTTGAGATTATTGAAATTATTATATAGGTACATTAAATTTCTGTTGACAAATGGTGACTTTTAACATTTAAACACTGATTTAATTAATATGCAGGGGCTTGATGTACATACTTTCAGTATTAATAAACAATTAATTAAGCTTGATGTTATAAACCTTTAACAGATAAGTTTTAATATTTTAATTAGAATATATAAACCAAATCTAAAGAGATAAAAAAATTTAATGCCTGCTAGTCTATGAGTTCATTTCGAAATCTATATAAGTTGTAAGCATAAACCTCATTTTTGTATTTCTGAAATGATCTTCTTCAAAGATGTTTATAGACATATTGTCCCTTGAATACTGTTTGAAATTCTGTGGTTATATAGATTTTGTTGTGATATTCTGATTTTCCTTGCCTATTTATAGTTAACCATAGTACTTACATGAATTAGGGTAATTTGGACCACTGTTTATTATATAAGATTAAAGGCACTTGCTGTCAAATTTAACTAGTCTCATTCTTCTACCATTAAAGGCACTTGCTGTCAAAGTTAACTTGATGATTTATATACTACCATTAATTTTGTAAGGTCCGGTGATACTCAAATGACAGAAGCTGGGATAAAACAGGTTAGCTGAGGCGTAGTATATTAAAAGGTAGATCTGATAGAAGTCTATTTATTCTGTGGATATGATTAGATCTGGAGAAAATTATAAATTTCAATCTTTTAACAGTTTTACAGCCAGTATGTTACAAAATTTTGGAATTCAATCACTCCTGTTCTAGAAGAAAATATTGGAATTCAATCACTCCTGTTCTAGAGGGAAATATTGGAAATCAATCACTCCTGTTCTAGAGGGAAATAAATATATACAAATAGTCAAGAGAAAAGTCATTTAATTTAATTGTACAGGTTGTCACAATTTTAAGATAATGGATATTGTATAGTAATTATTATTTATTGTTAGTTGTTGGACATCAATAATGAATTAATTTTGTTTGTTAGTGATGAGCAGGATTCAGTGTAAAAAATTTTAGATTTGCTCAACCCTTGTATTAAAAAGATCTACAATATCTAAAATGACACACCCAGTGGCTTAAATACGGATATTAATTTATGGTTTTTTAAAATTATTTTATTGATGTACAGGCTTATTTGTTATGATGCTTCAAAACAAATGGATGTCAGTGACGTGTATGAGTAGGTAGATTTAGGTTACACTTTCTTCTTTATCTTTAAAAACATATCTTTGGAAGTCAACGAGATCCAGTTAGGGATTATTAGGTACTTGAATCCATCATACTAGTTTAATGAAAATAATTGGTCTGTTGCATGTCTTGGAAACTGTCAGGTGTTCGTGCCACCCTAAATCTCCAAATTAATCTATAAAGAAAGGTCCTGCAACCAATCAGACCAATTTCTTTCATTTTTTACTGTGTTAAACTTAGACCATATAAAAGAAAATATTCTATTTCTTAGATACCCCTGCGCTATGTAAGAATATTTTTTTTAATATGGCCATTATAACACAATTTATTGATGCAGTCATGTTCATGTATCAATAATTGTATAAAATAGCTGTTTCATGTTGTACAGGACATGGACCGATATAGTTTATCATGGAGTGCTATAATACATTTAGTGCTACTTTATTTAAAAGAGTTATTATTATATTATGTATAAGAACATCTCTGATGAAATATATTAGATGTGTATTTACATGTATGACTTTTTACCAGAAAATAAAAGCCAGAATTATCAAGGGTAAATTTATGCTTGATTTTTTTCCTAATCCATTTTGTGACAAATGAACATGGTTACCTTGTCACATGTCCCACAAAGTAATTCTTCCTACATATATTTCAGGAGGTTTGTAAGAAGTTTAATTCTAGATTCTTTTTTCTCCAAAACCCAAAAACTGTTTTAACAATCTGAACTGGTGTTTTTAATCTCTATTTGAGTTGGATAACTGTTTTATTTTACTGCTTGGGAATATTTGCACAGGAAATCAGGTTCTAGTCTCTTCTAAATGATCTAATTTTCTTCTCAGAGGGAGTCAGAGTTTCTCCTCCTAGAGCTGACAAATTTGAGACTGTGTGGAGTGTGGACCAGGCTGGAATGGTATTGTAGCATATCTGAGCAACGGTAAATGTTTGACACTGGTCGAGCAACATGATTATAAAGTAATAAAGATCAGAATTTGTCAATAGTTTTAAAAAAAACCCACAATTTTAGAGGGGTGGGGGTGTGCAAAAAGTCTAATTGACGCAAAGCATGTCATTGCATCCCCTTCACTTACCACCTGCCCTTAAAATGAAATGCAATAACTGGGCTAATGAAGATGGGCATACGCCATACAGTGTGCCATGAGGGAAATTTTGCCCGGACAGCGGCACTATGGCCTACCCTTATATTGAATTCCAACTGCCAAGGGATCTTTTACGTGTACACGGGACCTTGGTTTTTAGTTCCATCCAAACGACTAGACAGCTGTCCTTGTCAGGCCTTCTGTCCTGCATCACTAAAAGGGGGAACCACGCCGGAAAATCTGGATGAACTTTCTCTGCCAATGCAAGGACCGAACTCCAGGCTAGAGAGCCTGCGTCTTACCCACTTAGCCACAGTGACCCCCTGCTCTTAAACATATATAAAAGCATGAATAAAGAACGAATCCAACTCAATTTACAACGGTTTTATTAGATACTCCAAGAAAGTAAAGAAACCATGATTATTGAATCTTATATTTAAGTTTATAATCTACACTACATTACCAAACTATGTTTACAGTGATAACAAGAAATAAAGGAGAAAGGACAAGTTTCATATCAACTTGTACAGATACAAGCTAGAACAAGTTTCATACAAACTTGTACAGATATACAAGCTAATTACAGCTATTTTAATACAAAACTAAACAAGATTATACAGGATGGAATTCTATGGAATACAATAAGCGACCACAATGAGATTAGGTTTCTCTAATCTTTATTATATGTCGTTTGTGTTAATTCTGTGTTCCATAGAATTTTGTCCGGTGTATTTTCAGTTCAATTACTAACCACTGGAACAATTTATATAATTTCGATCTTTAAGTTCAAGCTATCCTTTGGAAAAAAACTGGTTGGTTCTTGTTAATGTCTTACTACCCTCCAGATTGAGACATCACATCATTCCAGTGATTCATCTAGCCAGATTAGCTGTAGCTGATCTCTATTTACTTTCAGTTTAGTTTTTTTATTTATTCTGTGATATTTTAATAATATAATAATTTCTTATTCTTACTATATGTAAAACAAACTGAGTTTTCATAATTAGACAATTACCAGGCATTTTAACAGAAAACTCTAATTTTATGGTGATTATTACTTACAAGTAAAAATTAACTGGAGTTTAAATATAAATTAAACAAAATTCTCTAGAATGATTATAATAATGTACGAAAGAATACTATCAGAATTATCTGTAGAATTGCATTATAGTTGCAACAATCTTAAATAAATGTACATCTTTCTTTTTTTTTTTTTGTCTCTTCCAAATATTATACATTTAGAGTAAATATATTCATGAAATTTACATTCTTATTGTTTAACATGAGCTCAATACCAGTCAATCATAATAAATTTATTCATTTTGCTAGACAGTAGCCCTGTTTAATTAGATGTACACTCGTATATTTTCAAGCTTTGGAGCTTGTTTCATGAAGTGCAAGTTGTACATGTAATTAAATGTTCAATTTTGTGAATGGTGATATATTTCTAAGGTTAATTTTGGAATTTAATCCCAAGTGTTAAACAAGTAACCACAATAACCAGATACCAAACTATCTCGACCAACCCCAGCAGGTGAAACAGGTTACCATGTCAGTTATTGGGACTAGCAGAACTGTGACAGAACTAAATTCACTGTCACTCGACTGCAATTCCATCAATTGAGTGCCCCTATTAGCATATAGAAAAACTAAATTAACACCATTAGTAGTCATAGCAACACAAGCAACTGATCTTATCTGATTTTCAAAACTAGAGAGCAATACTCACCACACAAGGCTATTGCTAGACAGTGTCAAATTTGAATGATTTAATTCTTGACTTGGCTATAAAAGTTGAACATGAATATTTGATATTATTTAGTTTCTATTCTTGCCTACATTTTTTTTTTTTGCATCACAAGGCAACCATTTTATGGCGAAATAAAAAATTTAATAATTAAATCTGATTAAAGCTTTTGCTCTTTAATAGTCAACATATAGTCAAATATCTTTAATCACCAAATCTTTAAGTAAAATATTTTAAGTATACAGACTTTTCATCGACTGAACATTAAAATCATAGCACAGATTGTAGCTCCCGTGCAAATAAATATACTGTATTATTAAACCAGCGGCTGCCAGGCAGGATACGCCCACATTTTCGAGAGATGGATAGAGAACAAGCTAAAAAGAAAGTGATTTTTCCTACAATCAAGGGCCATAATTCAGGAAATTACAATTCGATATGCGCAAATATCGAAAGGAACGAAGATCTTTGTGTTATAAACTTACATTTCAAGTTTCAACAAAATCGGATAAAAATTGTGACCTCTATAGGGTCCACAAACTTGATTTACCATATTTTTTTTACGCTATTTGAGAACGAACTGCAGCCATTTTGTCTCTCAATTTTGGGCCAATTCATTCGGACTCAACGATCCTTAGGGTGTAACGGTGATATAATAATACGGCTTTTTAAATCGGATAAAAATTATGACCTCTATAGGGTCCACAAGCTAAAAAGGCGATTTTTGGTACAATCAGGGGCCATAATTCAGGAAGTTACAGTCCGATATGCGCGAATATCGAAAGGAACCGAGATCTTTGGTTTATAACCTTACATTTCAAGTTTCAACAAAATCGGATAAAAATTGTGACCTTTATAGGGTCCACAACCTTGATATACCATATTTTTACGCTATTTGAGAACGAAGGGCGGCCATTCTGTCTGTCAATTTGAGGCCGATTTTCACGAAATTCAAACTCAGCTGTCCTTAGGGTGTAACGGTGATATAATAATACGTTTTTTTAAATCGGATAAAAATTATGACCTCTATAGAGTCCACAAGCTAAAAACGCGATTTTTCGTACAATCAGGGGACATAATTCAGGAAGTTACGGTCCGATATGCGCGAATATCGTAAGGAACCGAGATCTTTGGGTTGTAAACTTACATTTCAAGTTTCAACAAAATCGGATAAAAATTGTGACCTCTATAGGGTCCACAACCTTGATATACCATATTTTTACGCTATTTGAGAACGAACGGCGGCCATTTTGTCTGTCAATTTGGGGCCGATTTTCACGAAATTCGAACTCGGCCATCCTTAAGGTGTAACGGTGATATAATAATACGTTTTTTTAAATCGGATAAAAATTATGACCTCTTTAGGGTCCACATGCTAAAAACGCGATTTTTCGTACAATCAGGAGCCATAATTCAGGAAGTTACGGTCCGCTATGCGCGAATATCGAAAGGAACCGAGATCTTTGGGTTATAAACTAACAATTCAAGATTCAACAAAATTGGATAAAAATTGTGACCTCTATAGGGTCCACAAACTAAAAACGTGATTTTTTGTACAAACATGCCAATATCGAAAGCAGCCGAGATCTTTTGGCGATAAACCTATATTTCAAGTTTCGTCAAAATCGGATAAGAATTGTGACCTGTAGAGTGTCTGGGGCGACGACAATATACGTCCACATGAAAATGTGGGCGTATAAAAAAAGGAGGGAAAGAGAGAGAGAAATTGGTTTTAACACAACCTAGGTCATTTTGGAACATACATATGTTCAATTTTATTTTAACAATTTGCTTGTGCTTAAGGGTCTTTAGCTGTGGAAGGAAACCAGAGGACCCATGGAAAACCCACAAGGTTGAACAGAGGACCCTACTCCTTGTCACGTACAAGTGGAGAATCGAAACCATGCCACTTGATTCAATGACAGACCTTATGATCTAACGCACACAACTTGAACCATTCGTCTACCCAACCTCATCTTCTAAAAAAAAACAAATACATTTTAGTTTAAGATTCCATGAATAAGGTCTGACTATTAAGATAGGATTGCATTCTAACTGAGATGCCACAACAGACAAAAGTCATCATCTATCATGTGCTGGCGTCAATTGTGTGTTTATAATCTTTATATACATGTAGGTTCTTCATGTGGATAACCAAGAAAGTTTCCCAGGATTATCCAGTGTGGTTTCTCCATATCAGTGATGCAGGAAAGAGGGCCTGGCCAGGAACAGTGTCTATTTGTTCGGATGGGATGGAAAACCGAGGTTGGGATGCACGTATAAGCAGTTGGAATTCAATTCATCATAGCACGCCACATACTGTTTGGCATATGCCTGTCTTCAATAGCCCAGAAAGTGCAGAAAAGTAGGGCATCAAATCCCATTTCATGCATTCACTCATTCTTCATGTAGAAGTTTCTGGTACATGCCCTTGTTTTGGTTTTTTTGTCTGCAAGAAGATTCCAAAAAGGGTTATGGTTGGTTTTGATTCTACTATGCCAATTAGAAATACACAAGTGTGCACTCAATGATGACTTCTGTGTGTAGATGCATGTTTTATTGTAAATGAAGACTCAATACTGATTTGATGTCATTTCTACATCCTAGTACATATAGCAATGTAATTTACAATATTAATATAAATCTAATGAATACAATACAGAATAAAAAAAGCTTATACACACACACAAAAACATAGCAAATAACAGATGAAACAAGTTCAGTTTTATATGGTTTGACTTCAAGATGGTAACATGGCATCATATACCAAGACAGGTCACAATTCTATGGACTACAATTACTGCTTATTACTGAGCTTGATAATGACTAGAGAAGTCTAGTCAAAATGTCATTCTGTAATTGTATTTCATAGAATTGTAATCTAGTTTAATTACTAAATGCCACTGAAACAATTTATCATTTATCTAATTGTTTTAGTTACTTTCATTAGTCAGACACAATCTATTCACAGAATTGACACTTCTGATAAATTTCTGAAAAGTGAATACAATAAACCACAAGTGGAATCAACCAATTGACATCTGAAAAAGCCTATTTCCTTAATGCAGGCCGCTAGCTTAAGATTTGATGTACCGATATATAGAAGTAAAAGTGGTTGATTCTTTTAACTGCATATAACTTTATATATATAAATATGAATATGGTTTTAAATCTTTAATTCTGACAAGGCAAAAACTTTAAAAATAAGTACCATTATATACATTAAATAAATGTAGACAAGCAAACGAGTACAATACAAATTATAAAATTGAAGAATGAAAAAAAGGTTGCCATTTTTTCTCATGTCTTTAACAACTATTCAATAAAGCATGTACAGGTAAGTATTTACCAACACTTCAGTTGACATTCGAACACAAAGAAACTACAGTCCACACCAGATGGTTCAAAACTATACCCGTCTATGCATACCAGGACTTTCATTTCAAAATATTGCCAACCAGTCCATGACTGACATACTCTATTATCTTGGAATATAATTTCTTAGCGTTTTCCCCAATTTTTTTTTATATATTTCCAAGTGTTTTTTACACATAAAAATCATAAATTAACTACAGTATATTTATTGTGTTTAAAGTTAATCTTTGAAATATCCAACTTTATGGCATGTAAAATGACCAACCAACAAGTTCTTCAGTCAATCAGTCAAGACCGGTTAATATGAATGAAATGAGAGCCCTAGTTTCAACAAATTCAGGTGGACTTGTATTTCCAAACCAGTTGGTCAGTTTTTGTAACCAAACTCCTCCATGGCTTTTTGACTATGTAAATGTCTCGCTACATGTATACAAAGATTGCTGTCTTCGTTTTTTTCTATTTAGTTATTATGCTTTAATTATACCATAAAGGAACAAGTATAAATTCTACAAAGTGTGACATTTGTCAAATTCATTTTTGCACAGCTGTAACTTTCAAATAAGTTCACTGCTGGCGAAAATCAAATAAAGACCTTGTGACGAAGAGGCCAGTTGAATAGATTTTATTTTCCATGGGTTTAAGACAGGTAGAAAATATCAATTCTATTGTGGTTTCTTCTTATTAATCAGCTTGGCTTAAAGGGATTGTCCCGATTTGAACAGAGTCTCAAAAATAAAAGTCTGAATACGTATGAAATTTAAGCGCCAAAATATAGAGGAATGCTGTATTTACCTTGCCTCAAAATTTCAGCTCATAATATTGAGTCGTTTGGGCGTGAACATCAAAACTGCTTATCCGGACACGTAACCCTTTCAAGATTTCGGGTAAATTTTTTTGTCGGATGGCCTGATAATCGATTCCTGTTCTGTCAAAGGTCTATACAATGAATGACCCATGTGCTGTACTTGATAACGAAAGGTAAATTTCACCTACACATTATTTTATTAAAATAAAAGTCTGGTTACATCCAGTCACTGCATAATACAGCTTGGGGCACCGGTCTCCATTTCCAGATGAAGACTGACGGGTTTAAGTTGTTTGAAAATGTATATCATATGTTGAGTTAGTTGCTCCACCCTAAGGTAGAGAATTTTAAGGGATTTTAACACAAAATTAAGCAGTTTTATTCTCCAAAAATATTATCGGGATTGGCTCTTTAAGCTAAAATATGTATAAATAAGCTGAATAGATGTATATTTGTCATTAACTTGAGAATGTGACCTGTAAGTGTAACGTAACGTTGTTATTTAATAACAAAGAAGTAGTTATATCCATATAAATCTTGTGTTGTGTTCTGTTTTACATAGGTAGAAAATATTTAAAGCCAATGTAAGTTAAGTGATTTTGAATCCCCAGTAAACTAAAATATTGTGAAAGTAGGCTCCCTAAAAGCAATATCAGTTAAAAATGGTTCAGTTCCATTCAGTAATTACAAAGATGTGATGAACTAAAACAAGCCAACGCCAAGTATAGGTGTTAAGTTCAATTAAACATTTCAAACGAACTGTTAGATAATGAATTTGGGTAGATTTTAGCAAGTATTAATCCATGAAAAATTAGATATTGTCAAAAATGAAATGGACGATAAGTGACTTTTATGTCATGTCACTGTTACACTTTATTCCTTTATGGTTACCTGTATTTTGATTACTTTGTTCAACAAGCAAGCAAAAACTCAACAACCTACCTTAATCATAAGTGTCATGTACAAGCCTGGAGATAAGACACCTGTCATAGACTTTGTCAGCCACAAATTATCACACAACATTTATATTATAATATATACATTGTATGATAATTTGTGCCTGACAACATCTGTGACAGGTGCCTGATGTCCAGGTTTGTATATATGTTTTGTGATCATAATTTGTACTTGACTAAGTCGGTGACAATGCCTTATGTCCAGGTTTGGTTATAAAAGTCTTTCTGCATGTAGTTATGGTTACCTGTATTCTAAACAAGCTACCTTTATCATACATGTTATGGAAGTCATTCTACATGAAGATAAGAATGAATATATGAATGTAATAAAATGTAATATGTATATCGATACACACATAAAGATGGCATAATAATAATAATAATACACGATGCCTCTATATAATTTATACATTTAAAAAAAATTCTAAGCAGCTATGATTAACTATAAGCACCTAAATTTTATTTACAAATGGCTGTTTTCCTTGTGAATCTACTTTCCATAACGGTGCAACTTGGTTGCTAATGACAACTATACTATTTTATCATTTATACAATATAAAATGAATAAAGTAAAAAGTCAACTAAATTACGCACTAGTTTTTGAAATCATCATGATACACTTCTCTACCAAATGAATATCTTGTTCTAATAATAGGTGAGAGCTTACAGTCAATCAAAAAACCAATCTGATTAAAACACAGATCCTATTTCGTTTCGTTTTTTTTTTATAGTTCAAAATTTCATTTTACTTGTCTTTGCTACACTAGGATCTGGAAGAGTTGTTATATAACCAGGGTTTTGATTGATGTGTGAGATTAGTCAATGAAACTTTCCGTTACGGTGAGTTCTGGGCGTGCTGTGCATGGAACTGTGGGTAAGCCAGTAGAAACGTCAACACTGATTGATTAATCAATGTCTGACACGATAGGGTCAAAAGCTGCTCGTATAAACCTGATGCGACCTTCCACTACAACCAGTCAGATCTTCATGTGTATAAAAAATCAAAACAAAATGTAGATCTGTATTTTAATCAAGATTGTCAATAAACCGGTCTTTAATTTCAGTTGACAATGTTGACATATCACTGACATATTTAGCATAAAAAAGTGAGATTTTTTTGTTTGAAATTTCACATTAATGTCTTACTGGCCTTAAATCTAGAGAGATATCAGAAAAATGGAATGACTTTTTGATATCCTATCGAGTGTTACAAAAACCAACAATGTAACTTTGTATTAATAGTTGCTACGAATCAAAATAGAATTTGATTCCCATCAACTGTTTTCTCAATTTCATATTTACGATGATAATGAAATTAGTGTCTCATGAATTCTCTGTGAGACAATGATTCAATTTTTTCACCGGATAAATATGTGACACGAAATGCTGCTATTTGATGTGTGTAGGTTTAATTATTATCCCGAACGTTTACAAATCAAAATTTTGAAAGTGCTCGACTACAAACTCTGGCTATTTTTAAGACTCAAATTTGAAGTTCCCTTATTCTACAAATCTTATGTTTGGGTACCAGAAAATTACTTTGATATATAAATAGAACCAGAATTACAGTTTACAAGCACACATAAAATTCTGATGTGCAAACGTATCAGCTCAGATATATTTGTTTAATAAGTAACCAATACTGAATACACAAATATTATTGTATATAAACATGAAACTGAATCACTGTGATAGGAAAATGATGAAATATGTGCATACTATAATTTATGTTTGTAATCTCCATTGACTGTGCTAAGTTCACCTTGTGTACGTGGGGTGAACAGATAGACTTTATATGTACCTTATTTAATCTTCTGATTGAGAAAAACAAATAAAGCAAATAAAATCAGAACTGAGCTATCATATGACACTGCATACGACATGTAGTTTAAAGGACAAATCGGAACTGAGCTATCATCAAGCCTGGAAATAAGGCACCTGTCGCAGACAATGTCAGGCACAGATTGAGGATTTGTCAGCCACAAAACCTCTGGTGCCTGTCATTTTGTCTGGCACTGATTTGTCTTTTTTACTGATATTATTAATACATGTCCAGCACTAAGTTGAAATGTCAGGTACTATTTCATTAGTACCTGACATTTTGTCAGGTACATCTAAAACCGTTATTTCCAGGCCTGGCTATCATATGGCATTGCATATGACATGTGATTTAAAGGAGAAATCCCAGATATATGTGATTGACTAAAACTGTTTAATTTAAGGTAAAGGACTCCTATAAATGTTTGTCCTAGTACTGTGCAACTATGTGTAGCTCTTTGGTACTTTTGGAAGAAATGCCAACTTTTATTATCCTTTCAAGGCTGACCGTATGTCCAAAATTCCAACCTGTGTAAGGGCCTAGATAACCATGTCTATATACATGCGGATGTTATTGTGGTAAGCCACGATCACGATTATCTAGTCACTCATAAAATTGAGGAATGGAATTCCATATATGACTTATGTCACCTAGCGATATTTCTGAACGGCTCAATCTTCTCATCTTAAATTTTACTTCACATTTGGCATTGGATTTACACACCTATTATTTACAGTGTCCTGGGAAATCTGAGACTTCCCCTTTAACAAAGATGGCACATGAATAAACCCTTCAATCCATTGAAAACAATGAGTTGTAGACATTGTTACCAGTCAATGGAGTATACACAGCTAACCTCATGCAATGACAAAATGATATTTAACAGTACATATAGTCACTGGGATTGTACAAAAACTTGCTAAACTTGATTACATTCAATAAATTATGTCATCTCTAAAGTTGATCTGAAATACGGTTGGCGGAGGGAGGAGCGGTCTTGCTGTTTTCGGAGACGAAGGGGCCGAACAGCTTTAACAGAATCTGGAAATTGTTTGTGGTAATGTTCCAGACGCAGATATCTGGCTGTTATAAGGCGACCTGTAATATATGAAATGAAATGGGGTTTAATGATTTGTAATATGAAATGAATGTATCGTCCTACTTTTCTGATTGTACAAATTGCAAGTCTTTTCTTCAGTTTCAAACGTTATATAAATTATTATTTATACATTTATTAACAGTACAGGCCTATAATCAATCCTCTAGATCATTGGATTTAAAAATTTACAATAAAATGGGCAATCAAAGCCAAGTCTTGGTTGTCAAGTACCATTACTATGATAATGAACGATCTACTCGATATCTTTAAACAGTGATAACTTCGCTCAGAATAAAGTAATTTGAATGAAATTTTCAATAGATCCATTTTTCATAATCTATCTTTGAATTATATTAGCAAAAACGTCCAGCTTTGTCTAAATCTTACATGATGGATCGTGATAAAATTCAATTTTTCGAATTTTTATTGTAATTTCTGATCAATTATGTTCAGAGAAATTGAACAGCAGTCCTTTATGACTGCTTAGTCCATGCGACACATTTTTTTTATTATCATTTTGTTGTCTTGTCTGTGAATCTGCCATTACTAATCACTTCTGCAGTGTCTTGTAGGATGTTTTTCTTTGTTCATTACAAATGTCACCCGAAACCATAGAATACATGACTTGTGCATATATTTTAAAATATTCATTATGTCTTAAATATTGGATATCAGGATCCCATATTTTCACAGCAAGATAAATTGCTTGAAATAGACCAATCCTGAGTTTTAATTCATGTTTTTAATTTCAAATTTTACGGAAAATATTGAGTTTAGAGGTTTAGTTCCTTTAATGTCCAGAATGTCAGGCACCAGTTCATTAATGCCAGACATTTTTTCAGATATAAATAAAATCACTATTTTCAGTCCTGCTAAAATAAAGAGGGTGCATTTAACTTTCACGCAACACCGACCATCTTACTTGGGACTACAATATGGTATATTTCTATTTCAATAATATGCTTTCATGCAGAGTATTTAATATAAAAGTTAACTTACCATCAAACCACCAGCCATGGAGACACTGTCGAGCTTTACCTGCAGATTCACGACTACTACATTTCAAATATACACAACCCTGAAATAATAATCAACGGTTAAAATTACATCCACGTCTCTAATTCATCTTATATTTCACTGTTCTAGGACTTCATTACAACACAAATTATTGCATACATCAGGATTTAATATGGCATCTGACAGTATAATAGTTTTGAGTAAAATTAAATGAATTGTGGTACAACATCCTACTGTTCTGCTCCAACTGGGCTAATAAAGACGGTTATACGCCATGCAATGTGCTATGAGGAAACGACTACACACAGGACCAAACGACTGCTCTTTGGTAAAACAGTTAAAGGGTCTCAATATACCGTTGGAACAATCATTGAAACCAACAGCTTTAATAATAATCACATCAGAAAATGTTCTTATAATGGACCGTTGATCATGCCAATGTATTACTCCGGTCATACTACAGTCTGTTCGACAAATGAAATGAAGTTTAACGTCCTACTTTTCTGCTCCGACTGGACTAATAAAGATGGGCTATAAGATAAAGAAAATTTTGCCCGGACAGCTGCGCCAAGGCCTACTCTTATATCAAATTCTAAGGGTGAAGGGTTATTTTGTGTGCACGCCAATGTATATGTTGTCCCTTGCCAGACCCTTCCGTCCTACACAACTAACAAGTGGGGAACCATGTTGGAAAAATATGAAGACCTTTCTCGACCTATACCTGGATCAAACACAGGGCCTCCAGGTTAGCGAGCCAACATCTTACTCACTGAATCAGCGTAGCTCCCTGTTCAACAAAGGTCAATATTTAAATACCTAAAGTTTATACCAAAGTACCACTGTTAGTTTCGTAAAACAAATGAGAAGTGTGATGGGGTGTTCTATAGATTAAGTACACCCTGCCTCCTGCACAACACACATCATTTTGTGTAGTTATTTGGAGAGATAGTATGAACTTGGCATATAGTATGACGTTGTTCGAATTTAACTAATTAACGAACCTCTGTAGAATTCTCATCAACAAACATGTGAATAATATCAGCAACACCTTCAGTTTTCTCTAAAATAGCATTTTCTACTTTCTCAAACCAATCTTCTTCACTTTCACTAGAAATATATCATCAAACATTTAATTATGCTATACAATGTATACTCAAGTTGGAAAATAGTCATTTCAATTGTACCTGACAAAACATCTAATACTTATAAGAAATGAAATGAAATGGGGTTTGATTTCCTACTGTTCAACTCCGACTGGGCTAATGAAGACGGCCATATGCCATACAGTGTTCTATGAGGGCAATTTGGCCAGGACAGCAGCAATAAGGCCTACTCTTATATCGAATTCCAACTGCCAAGGGATCTTTTATGGGCAAGCCAAAGGAGTACACAGGACCTCTGGAAAATCCAGATGAACTTTCATGGCAAACATCAGGATCGAACCCGTGACCTCCAGGCTAGCGAGCCAGCGTCTTAAACACTGAGCCACCATGGCTCCCTAACACTTAATAAACTAGGACCCAACATTTTTAACGTCTTGCTGGTCATGTATTGTATTAAAAATATCACTATTTCTAGGCTTGTGTATAATATATCACACCTAGTTTTACCATATAATAACTGGAAAATCTAAGCTACACAAACAAATAGTCAAATAGGGCTAAATCTATTTGTTAAGGCCAGCTCAATTTTTTTAAAGGTCGTTTAGATGTAAATAAGGTTAGGTCACATGATTGGAGATTCTAGGTTAGGTTTAAGAATTTGGGGGAGGGGTTAAATCTGCAATATGACAAAAAAATTGAGCTGGCCTTATCATTTAGCACTAACCAGTCACATAGGAAATACCTGACTGATATTGAGTCCAGAACTAAATGTTACTGATAATCTAGACTATGGTGTTGGAAGACAATCTAGACTAGGAGTACAGACATGTTTTCCAATGGTTATAAAGGTTACTATATACTTTCGTTTTGTAATTCATCATGATAATAGTTTACTTACACAGCAGCATCAAACATATTCTTAACTTTAAGACATGGTGTAGGACTATATCTAATAGGACTGGTCGTAGTTTCTTTATGCTCTCCAAATGCTACAAAAATAGAACAATGACATTTATAAAGAATGTTAATACTGAAGTACAGTTTCTAAAATGCTGTTGGTTGTTATATTCAATGACTGTTTACAAATAAGGGTTTTGAAATGCGAATGTTTTCAGGTGATGTAAAACAGCCCACTGTTGTTAGCTGTTTCATTTGTTGAAAGCTTGTCCCATCAGTAATGGAAATAACACATCACAACAATCTAATTCAAACCTTTATTTTGACCCAAATGAAAAATGTTCAGCTCCTTTATACAGGGACAATTTTATATGTGTGAACATTGTCAATCATATAACTTTCAAATACAAACTAAATTATTACAATGTCCTTACCTTGTCCTTGCCAAACTTTACCACCATTGGGAACAGTCTGTAAAATAAATCATATTTAGTTTTTTAATCTTAAGCCCTAACTGATGTTAATGTATTATTATTAAAGAGAATACCCCCAAGCTCAGACATGATTTTAGCTGTTGGAGTGGGGAGTGGGGAGGGGGGGGCGTGTCCAGGGACAACGCCAGTGTGTTATGGGGGCCAAAGGCGATTTTAAAGTAAAGGGGGGGGGGGGGGTGTCCTGATAATGAATTTTAAAATTCTTGTATTTGTCTACTAATTTACTACAATGTTTTTTTAACCGTCTTCATTAGCCCAGGTTAGGAGCAGAACAGTAGGACGTTAAACCCCATTTCATTTCATTTCATACTACAAATTTTGGCTTAACTTATATTTAATTTTTTTCTCTTCCATTTACAGAATACTTACTAACAAAAAAAATAATGTTTGAACTACGGATGCGATCTTTTGATTGTCCCTGTATAATTTTCTAGACTAGAATGTTTTGCTCTAAACTTCTCCATCCCCCTCCCTCCGACTGTAATTAATATTAATAATTCACGACTCTTCGGGCATTGACTTTACGAATAGAACGTCTCACAAGCTCGCCTTCCACCTTCCGTTTCAACCATTTCCACTTCCATACATTTTAAGGTCCTTTGTCTTTGGTGTGGGCGTCTCGATCTACGACATTAGCCATAGTGCGGAAGAACTGAAGACGATTACGTACAATCATAGATATGTTACGATAGAGAAACTCTATGTTACTTGTACACAGTGACAGGCGATCTCTTCAATCTTGCGTGAGTCTACGGCACCGTACTGTTAATGTTCACATCGCTGACATCCGGTTAGCAGATTTTAAAGTTATGGATAGATATTTTGGAGTTAATCAGTTAGAAATTCGTCAGGAAAAAATTAATGATTTTTTTATTATGATATTACGCTTTTGAAACAAGGTGCCTGAATTAAAACGGAACAATATCGTAACAAAAGCTTTGTCAAAAATCGGAACCGACCGCCAAAAATCAGAACCAGACGGGACAAAAAGCGGAAATCCGCTTTAAAGCGGGAAAAAAACATGTCTGCAAGCTACTGTCTTCTGCTAAAACATTGGTGAAGTCCAAAACAGACAAGTTTTGGGGGAGCACAGAGACAGAATTTTTAACTAGATAAAGAAGACAAGGTATCCATGATATTTGAAAATCAATGGAATGAATTTGCAGAGAACTCAATCTGATTAAAACACTAATCCTATTTCGTTTCGTTTTTTTTATAGTTCAAAATTTTATTTGTCTGTACTACACTAGGATCTAGAAGAGTTGATATTTAACCTGCGCTCTGGATAGCGTGAGGTATTAGCCAATGAAACCACCTGTTACAACGACTTCTTGGAGTGCAATGCACGGAACTGTGGGTAATCCACTAGAAACGTCAACGCTGATTGATTAATCAATGTCTCACAACATTGGGTCAAAGCCGCTTGTACGACCCCGGACGTGACCTTCCAGTAAAACAGGTCAGATCTTCATGTAGTGCAGGCCATCGAAAGTATAAAAAAACAAAATGAAATATAGATCTGTATTTTAATCAGATTGCTGAGAACTGGACATCAGAAATTAAAATGGTTATAAAGAGATGAGTGTACCATGATATAGTATTTTATTTTACCTGTATCCATCTCCAAACTTCAAATTCTTCTCCTTGTATATTCTGTGTCTCTAGTCGAATTCTGGACTCATTATCTTCTATAAATTTAACAGCCTTATTCCAGATAGGTTGTAATTCACGACTGTAATAACATCAATTGATAGAAACTTTAAACATATACCCTAAGACAAGAACTTGGTGACAAAATTAACCAATATTTGTATAAAAACATACAGACAGAAAGTGAAGAAGTAGGTGTCCAGACAACAAAACATGTCCACAGCTGTCAAAGTCAATCAAGCAGTTCATAAAGGTTGTCACAGTTTTTTTCTTTTGCAGGTAATTGTAGGTGTCTTACAAGACACAAAAATGACCAAGGGCAACAAACACTGAAATAATTATCAGAACTTTGATGCCTTACATCTATATATCAAGGGTAACATTACATACCGCTGCTGTGGAGGTAGAAGTTGATCCCGAACATGTTGTACCGCCATATAACTTGTATCATCATCAGAATCATTATCACAATTTTCTTTTAATATGTCTAAAAAAAAACCAATACAACAAATATATTAAATTCTTACGTAGAATATCCTGTAATAATGCAATTGACAGTAAAGACATGAATGCTTCTGGGAAATACCAATCTCATTATAGACATATTTTCTTGACAGAAGCCAATACAAGAATTTTCGCAAGATAACAGAATATGATACTACCCAATATCTCGACCAATCGTCATAGCTGAAATGCTTGAATATATCATGACTCACACCACATCTGTTTCCGAACTGTCAATCAAGCAGCGGAGTAAGGTGTAAGTTATGTATGTGCTAAAATAAAAACATCAGGTCTAGTGGCTGACACTCTGTGTCAAATATCTGGTTTAATTTATTGTGCGTTAATAAGGCAATAACTTTAGCCTCAAGAGTGTCCAAAACTGGGCCGACACCAATATATATATGTGGGTAAATAGAAATAAGGTCAAAGAGTGCAATAGATGTTAACATAAAAAGTATCGTTACCAATAATTTCTTCCACCATTTTAAACACTCGTCTTTGTTCTACATCAGATTTCTTCGATCTGTATTTATACAACTGAACACCAAAATATAATACTAGAATGGCTGAAATACAAAAATATTTTTATATTATTCAATCAAAGATAATACTAGAATGGCTGAAATAGCAAATACTTTTTTTTATATTATTCAACAAAATAATTATATTATCCTTTTTCCACAAATTTAAGTAATTATGCCAAACATTCAACAATAAACAGAGAACATCCTGTGACAGTATTTAAACACATGGTCAACTATGTCTTCCAGATAACATCTATTTGTATTTTATTAGATTCATTTTAGCATTTTGATTATAATTAATATATAAATGATCAGAATTAGGAGACCCATTCTTACACTATAGGAATATAAACAGTCACATTTTTAGTATATATACCGTACCCAATTGAAACGCCATAAGTATCCATGGTTAATAAATGTATTTAAGAAAGAAAGATGTACTAAACGCAAAATAGGTCATTTCAGGTCTGATATCCCTTTTATTTTGCAAGATGTGGCACAAGTCAGTGACATCAAACTAATGATTCTGGCATTAATGATCTACATTAGGTATTGGTATCCATGGTTAGTAAATGTATCTAAGTGGGAGAGAGATGTGGGTTTAACATCCACTAAACGCCAAATATGTCATTTCAGATCTGATATCTATACTAATATTTGTGACTGTTGTTTGTTTGTCTCACATCAATGATTTACAATTAATTTGAGACCATTTGGCCATCCATCCACTTGTTTAAATATAAGCACATCATAGTACAAGAGAGAGAGAAATGGGGTTTAACGTCCACTCGACACAAACTAGGTCATTTCAGGACTAACATATGGTTTAATTTTTTTATTTCAATAATTCGCTTGCGCGTAGGGGTCTTTAGCAGTGGGAGGAAACCGGAGGACCCGGAGAAAACCTTTGAGGTTGGACAGGCGACCCTACTCCTTGTCACGTACAACCGGGGAATCGAAACCCCGCCAATTGACTCAATGACAGATCGTATGATACAGCGCGTGCGTGCTAACCATTCGGCCATCCAACCCTCCCATCATAGTACAAACCTGTTAAGAAGATAATTATGCCAGTGATAACTCTATAGAATGATTGTCCTAATCTACACACTAGACTTTTAGATGCTACAACAGATTCTAATGTAGCTACTTCATCTGGTGCTGTGGCATCACTACCATCATCTTTATAAGCTCTGTAAAATATTCAAACAAACTAGTCAACTCATCATTATCACACATCCTGATCAATACAAACAGCAGTTTATGTCTTTTCCCTCATATCACTGAACAAAATGGTTTAACTATAACTTTAAATTAAAAGCACTTTTAGCTTTTCCTTAATGCAGATTTCTTTGCAGATAAGGAATTTTTCAGATTCAAACTTGTGTGCCAAAACAACAAAAGAAGATTGTACACTATATTTTCTGATAAAACACTAACCTTAACTTCCAGTGTGGATTTTTAATGATAAGATCTGTACAAGCACTATATAATCTTTTTACAGTCTGTAAATAATATTAACAAAATAAATAGAATATACGTGAAATGAAATAAAACGGGGTTTAATGTCCTACAGTCCTACTCCTCCTGGAATAATGAACCAGCTTATATGCCATACAGAGTGCTATGAGGGAAATTTTGCCTGGACAGTGGCGCCAAGTCCTACTCTTATATCAAATTCCAAGGGATCTTTTATGTGCATGCCAACGTGTACACAGGACCTCGTTTTTTTCGGCCATCCAAACGACTAAACAGTGGTTTTGCGCCACGGAAAATCTCGACAAACTCTACCGGCCAACACTGGCAGCGAACCTGTGACCTCCAGCCAGGCTAGCGAGTCAGCGCCTTACCCTCTTAGACACCGCGGCTCCTAGAATATATATAAACCACACAAATATAAACAGAGGTGGATTAGGTCTAAATATTAAGACCACCTGCAAATAGAAATGGGTGATGCATCCCATTTTCACTGATTTGGCAGTATCTAAGTACCAGAATATTTTATTTATGTGGCCTTATAAGCAAAATAAATCAATTTATTTGAGTACAGATTTTATTTTAAAACATGTAATTACCTTTCGTTTATGCTTCATATCTTTAAGCTGTTGTTTAAAATCGTCAGATGTCATATCTTTATCAACTTCATTTCCACATTCTACCTCACCTGGAATAAAAATAATACATTAATCCTGGACGCATAAAATATAATCTTACTGCTTGTCAAACTGGTAGCGAAATATTCCACCTAGCACAGCAAGTATTTTTTGTCCTTTTCAGTTATAATCCGGAAAATGCAAAGATCTTTATTCCACATAGAAAGAATGACCGTGCTGTAACCTTTAATATGATCTCATTAGATATTTGATGTATCCTTTCTTCTACACATTTTGATATGTTAACAGGCAGTTTCCATGCAAGATATGCCCACATTTTGCAAGAGCTGGTCAGAGAACAAGCTAAAAAACAAGAAGCGATTTTTCGTACAATCAGGGGCCATAATCCAGGAAGTTACGGTCCGATATGCTCGAATATCAAAAGGAACAGAGATCTTTGGATATAAACATATATTTCAAGTTTCATCAAAATCAGATAAAAATTATGACCTCTAGATCATCCACTACCTTGGAATTACATACTTTTACACTATTTCCATACAACAAGGTTCCCGCGGTCTTTGTCAAACATTTTTTCAAGGATATTCAAGGATAAATAAACGTCAAATTCAAGGATTTTCAAGGACATTTTTTAGCCTAAAGTTACAATTTTTCATCTTAAAAATAACCAAAACATTACCAACTATCGTTACAATCTCATATCTAAAAGGAATTGAAGACATATGAAACAAAATTAAGGATCTCAACTGGAATTCAAGGATATTTTCCTATTTCCGCGAAATTCAAGGATATTCAAGACCTTGAAAATGAAATTTTAAATTTAAGGATATTCAAGGATTTTCAAGGACCGCGGGAACCCTGTACAAGGAGCAACCATTTTGTCGGCAGTTTCGAACTCAACCATCATTAGAGTGTAACAGTGATATGTTAAAATGATTTTTAAAATCGGATAAAAATTGTGACCTCGAGCTATATCTGGCGATAAACCTATATTTCAAGTTTCGTCAAAACCAGATTAAAATATGTGACCTGTAGAGTGCCGACAAACAAATTGTGGACGGACGGACGGATAGGGGTGACAACCATATATGTCCACATGAAAATGTGGGTGTATAAAATTTATATTTACCTGCTTTTGTACTGAGTAGATCATACAAATCATGAATTATTATCATGGCCGTTTCAACTTCATCTTTAGAATAACATCTCTGAAATAATAATAAAATATCTTTCATTGGATTCATTTAATTTAGAAGGTCTTCTTTCATTACATGGCCATATTTTAAAGCTGCCGATTCATTGCAAACTACAATATTGTGAAAGTTGAAACTCTAAAAAAGGAATATCGATCCAAATAATACTTTAATTTCCATTCTGTATTTAGAAAGACATGTTGAACTGAAATATTTCACAACATTCAGCATCCTTTGCAGATGATGAGGAGCCACGGTGGCTAAGTGAGAAAGATGCTGGCTTGCTAGTCTGGAGGGCACGGTTTTGACCCCGGTGTTGGTTGAGAAAGTTCATCAGGATTTTCTGGTGTGCTTTTTCCTTGTCAGTGATGCAGGATCGAGGACCTGACAAGACAGCTGTCTAGTTATTAGACTGGGACAAAAAACGGAGGTCCCGTGTACACATTGGCATGCATGTAAAAGATCGCTTTGCAGTTGTAATTCAAAATAAGAGTAGGCCGTAGAGCTGCTGTCTGGGCAAAATTTCCCTCATAGCACAACGCATGGCTTACATGTATGCCCATCATCATCAGCCCAGTCGAAGCAGAAGAGTATGACGTTAAACCCTATTTCATTTGCAGATGATATAAACAAGACAGCACCACCTGTAGGTATTTGAAAAAATATTTTGATGGCCCTGTTTTTTATTTAATCTCACTGAATCTATACATCAGGAATTTGTCTGTCGTTGAAATTTTAGTTTTGTTTCCTTAAATATATGTTGAATTATCAATTTGAGCACATTTAACAATGTGAAAAATTACCTAAGATACAGTATAGTCTGCAAAATTTAAAGCTAACAATTACTGTAACAATCCCTTAAATAACATTCAGAGTCAGTTTAAACATTTTTGAAAATAAAGCATAATTTTTGAAAATAAAGCATAATTTTTGAAAATAAAGCATAATTTTTTATTTGACATAAAGCATAATTTTTGAAATTTTTTGAAAATAAAGCATAATTTTTGAAAATCAAGCATAATTTTTGAAAATAAAGCATAATTTTTTTAAAATAAAGCATAATTTATTAAAATAAAGCATAATTTTTTAAAATAAAGCATAATTTTAACCATTTGTTGAAGTGTACTTACTTTAGTGGGATCTTCTTCATCTTCACACAATAAATATTCTGATCGTGGTCCTACAACGAAAAAATAAATACAATTACAAATAAAGAGAGAGAGAAATGGGTTGTAAAGTCCACTCGACACAAACTAAGTCATTTCGGGACAAACATATGGTTCAGTTTTATTTCAATAATTTGCTTGTGCATAGGGGTCTTTAGCAGTGGGAGAAAACCTGAGGACCCGGAGAAAACCCACGAGGTTGGACAGGCGACCCTAATCCTTGTCATGTACAACCAGGGAATCGAAAACCACGCCATTTGACTCAATGACAGACCTTATGATACAGCGAACACACGTGAACCATTCGGCCATCCAACCCCCCGATTACAAATAAGCTTCAACAAATAACATTAATAACTGCATCACAGAATACAGTTTGTAATATTGCTTAATCTTTTTCGTTGTCTTTAACGTCGCTTCCACCTAGGGTGATATACTTGTACATCATGTACATGTAGCAGACAAGGTTTTCTGGGAAAATTGTGAGAGGAGCCAAATAAGAGGCTCATTGGTATCAGTGATTCTCCCAAAACGGCGAACACCAAAAAAATAGGGATAAGGCGACTTGATCATCCGGATTACTATATTTCCTGTATACTTTTTATTCTGCTGTAAAACTTAGAACTACCAGAAAATTCAAAACGAAACAAAAAGGTGTCTATTTTAAATGCCATTAAAGACATGTCTTCTATTCACTTAATTCATTAAATATTGCCCATCTATACTGAAGTTGAAGAAAACCTCAGAAATTAAATTATCTTGGAATCTAATTTTGGTCGAAAACCTGAAAATAATAATTATTATTAATTCATCAGCGTTGATTTATTAAAAGACGATTTGGCTATCTCCACTAATCGGACCTTGTTTTGTCGTACCATCAGAATGTCTAGACACTGTTCCTTGCCAGGTCATCCATCCTGCACCAGTGACAATTAAGTGACCTAATCGATTCTGTTTCAATAAATGCACAGCAGCATGCAAATACTGCTGCAAATCAGCCCTATTTAATGTTGTCTATGTCTTAAAGTTGGTTTGTTACCATACAGTAGAGGCCTATTAACATTTGTTACAAACTTATACAAACCTGCTTTTGGGAACACACCACCATACAATGAATACACAAAATTGTCTGATTTCACAAACATATAGCCTACTACCAAACAAACAAAAAACAATATAACCACCGCTACAAGTCCTTCTGAAATATGCTCTGGATAGAAACCATATTTTTTTTTCTTCGATTGTTTTTGTGAGTTATTAGTATTTGTGTCATTGTTCGTATTTCGATAACTGTTTCTGGATGTTGATGGCAGCGGTCTTGTACTTGGAGTAAACTGGTATTCTTTCCGAAAACTATTTAGAAAACTTGATGTATAACGAGTTGTTGGTTTTGTATTGGATTTTATGGGAATTTTACTTTCAAATTCCTCATCTTCATCATATGGTAGCGTTGTGTTCACAGACTTGTTTTCAACCTCATATAAACTTTCTTCCATTTCTAATTCAGAATCTGACGTGTCCAGACTCTTGCCATAATCGTAAAGACTATTAAATTTCGATGTGGAGGGTCCGGATTGGGTAGAAGAGTCCACATAACCAGTGGATTTGTCATTTAATCTACTACTTGGATACAATTTGGAGCTACTTCGAGATGTTTTATTTGTTGACATAGGAACCACTGGCTCAGATCGTCTGCTTCGACGAGGCGTTGGACGCTTAAACCCCTCATCATCAACATTTGATTGTGTATTGGACGCTGCAGCTGATCGGCGCCGAACTGATTTCAGAAAAGTCTGAGATGAGCCAGAAGCAACATCTTCCTTTGAAGACGAATCGCTTTCATCTGAACTAACCGCGTCAAGTGTTCGTCGGTTTCGGCCACTCTTCTTTATTGGTGATTCGTCGGACCTTTCTCTTACTCTAAAATGATTAAGTTTCTTAATCAGTATTTCCCTCTTTCCAGTTTTTAATGGTAGTGTTATCTTTTCTCCATATTTAGCTAACTCTTCAACAAGTTGCTTATCCGAAATATCGTCCACGGCCATGTTGATGAGCGCAGTCTTGACCGGAAGAGGTATGTCGCGCAGAATCTAAATATCTAATAAAATATTTGAATTTTTTTTTTCTAGATCAGATTTATGGACCCTGTCCATACAATTAGGGATTAGTTTTCTCTTAAAAACGTGTTAAACCTATCGGCGACATGCACAGAAAGATAAATATCTAGTTAAGTCCTTTAAGTATACTGCAATTGGCTGTGAGACATGATTATTGCAAGAAAGAGCAATTTTAAAAAAGAATAACATGGGACGCAACTCTGTCGATCTTGAATTAATTTAATTCTGTAGCAAAATCAAGTCGAAGGGATGTAACTCTATTTTTCGAAAAAGGGAATAAACCACATTCTACTTACAGGCACTTACAGATCCTCTTATGAAAGCTGGCCTTGGCCACGATTTCCAGGTCTTCGTAGCCTAATCAATGCGCTGATTTTTCTACTGCCTCCGGTAATGATGTCAAATTTATCCCCAGGCCATTCCAGGATCGATCTAGTCTGCTTTCAAATGATTTTAGCGTTGTTAATAACAATCAGTTAAATAACAGTCGCTATTTCTTTCTGTGTAGCCTACAGCGCAGTCGCACAGATATCCACAGAAGCTAGTTTTTCACTAGAACAAAATTTATGCCAACCGCGCTTTTTCTCACCGTCGATCTTTCGCCAAGTCCGAAATGGCCGACTCAGTTCCCTGCCTTCGCGCAACCACCAAAAAGGCTAGAACTAAGTTAAGAATGGAAATTAATTTCTACATTGCATCTTGTTCAATGCGTTACAGTCCTACTAAGACTCGTTTTGAGATATCAGCATGTCTGTATGGCAGAAATGACAAATGTTGGCGCAAAGATACCACTTAATGGCACATTCCCACAAAGGAATTTTCTATCCGAAATTAGCTTCATGAAAATTTTGTTGGTATAATAGGGTCTATTTTACATTTATAAATTAATTCATTAATGTTCTTAAATACCATCTTCTCCATACTATCCCGCGGGTGTCTGAGACGGGTCAGGGTCACCCTGTTTTGATTTCTTTTTTGTAAAAAACGACCAATGACGTATTTCGCCCACAACTTCGATTGTTACAATTCGAAGCAATATGCAACATAAATAAAAGTAGACTATCTTCACTCATTATTGCATAACGTAAAACTCCAGGAACGAACGAACGAAACCACCACGACGCATGTTTTGCCGACTTTGCCTCGGGCTCTGTAATCCGCATACGTTTACTACAGTACGCTGCTGTCGTGGGCCAATGTTTCTTCACTTCTACCATAGTCTATCGTTTGATGAATCCTCCCTTGTGTTGACTTTTCATATGTACATAGCGGTAACAAATATATACTATACGAGTTATACGACCCCAACAACATTTTAAAAGAAGACGAGAACGTCATAGTACGTGCAACCGGTACGAGGTTGCGATCACAAGAGCGATAACCCAGTATAAAATTATTTGCAACTCTGGATTTCGACAGAATTCCTCCTTATGGTAAGGTGAACAGCCCCAGCAAGCTTGAAATACAACAAAAAAACGGCAATATAAGCCACCTCCCAAAAACCCGAGACAGTTCAAATAGCTATTTTGAGACACCGGGGAGATGGGGTATCTAGGTTTCCGATTCAAAACCTCTAGGTGTATTCAAATGACCAACCCATGTTTATTCTTATATGAATTTTCATAATTCACAGGGAGCCACGGTGGCTAAGCGAGTAAGGCGCTGGCTCGCTAGTCTGGAAGTCGCGGGTTCGATCCTGGTGTTGGCTGAGACATTTCATCGGGAAAAACCGGCGGGGTTTCCGCTTGTCAGCGTTGCAAGACCGAGGGTCTGTCTAGTCGCTCAGATGGGACGAAAAACCGAGGTACTGTGTACATATTAGCGTGCACGTAAAAGAGCCCTTGGCATTTGTAATTCGATATAAAAATAGGCCACAGCGCCGCTGTCCGAGCAAAATTTCCCGTCTTCATTAGCCCAGTCGGAGAAGGACAGTAGGACGTTAAACCCCATTTCATTTCATTTCATAATTCACAGGAAAAATGTTGACGAGACGTTAAACCCGATTCTATTCCATTAAAGGAGAATAAATATTTTCTTTTTCTGGAGTAAATATGACGTAACATTTAACTTTATTAATACCGCTGATCAGACGCGTGATAGTAGCATGTCAATCAAAGGATCGGCCAAATTTCATACCCCAGTTATAGCCTACATATGCACAAAATCGTGTTCGACTATGGCCGCCCTCGTCTATTTTCGTGAAAATTTCCTCAAATAATATGCAAAAGAAATGTGAAACCCAAATGTCATATAGCCACCATTAGAAGTCATGTGGTATAACATGCACACAGTACATGGTATGTACAAATTCAGCTATTGACGGAGTATTAAATCAATGAACGGTCAGAGTATCTTTATGTCACGAAAGCCTTCGAGTCAAACTAAGCACTACTTCAATGACATACCGAATGATTCCAATACATTCCTGGTATAGTACTTTTCACCAGAACAAATGTATTTTTATTCACTTCTACTCAGTAGAAATGGCATAGTAGGACTTTTCTCCCTTTTATCATTTAAACAATTAAGGAATATCAGACAAAAATGGTCCATTTCAAGTCAGTATTAACAAAGATATTTTGAACTGAAATGTCATCGATCTATGTAATAAGCCCACCCTCATTTTGTTGTTCGCGAACATAATTGATGGGCCTGTTTTTACAGTTACCCATTATCACCACAGGCCCTGGATTTTATTTTTAACAGGCGTGTTTCATTATCATCTAAAAAGGGTATTACCAAAGTTGAAAAAAATATCCACTGAACCATCAGCATGAGTCATGGTAGCTCAGTTAACAAGGCCCCCCTTCCCCGAGTCATTTTGGTTTTCGGTTTTTTTTTAAAATATTCATCTTTGAGATATTTGGTTGCGTTTCTTGAGGTTCCTGAATTATGGCCCTTGGTTAACTTGAAATTCTATGTTATGAAATTATTTTAGTTCAATTTGACGTATTTGATTGAAAGCTTTACACTGCGTCAATCTATTCCATATATATGTATTTCATAGGTTCCCAACACAGGATCAGATTGCGACCCCTCGAAGAACAAGTCACATTTTACTATGAAACATCATTATCATTCACTTTTATTATTGTTTACTTATTAAAAATCTGATAACAAATTATTGATTTTTTTAATCAGTGTGATGATTGCGTCTGTTTTACAGCGACCAGGTTTTCAATGCTTGGCTCAACGCCACTCAGCGCGACAATCATGTCCCTTTCTATTCAAAGCCGGTTCCTAAATTTTGTTTTTATCACAACCATTGTAGAAAACGACTGTCTGCATATGCATGACGACGGGTACGGCATGAGGAGTCGTACTGCATTCTTGGATAAACGTGGATAGGATTCAAGCATTTTGCACCAGTACTGGACAAAGACAAGGACTTGTACAGTGATTTAGCTCCGGAATCCTGCCGCAGTCTCACGAGCTCCTCGTGATGGCGTCTAATGGTGCACTGTATGGGTCTAGGACCACGGTGAATGACTGGACGTCGAGCTCAGGGAATAGTGTTCGAACTGATCGATCAGTGACTGAAGATGTTCAGTGATTTCAGCGAGATCAAGCCTTCTATTGAAGATGTATAGATAGATTACATGAAAAGATAGCATTTTTTTAAAGTTCTCAGACTAGTCCGTGACCTCACGAAAAGTGCTCGCGACCCAGAGGTTGGGAAACGCCGATGTATTTGGATTATATTTTCATAGAAATGTATTCGCAATATAAGTCTCTTCTAAGAGCATAACTTAAAATTTGTTGGGCCAGTAGTGGAAATCTATAGTTTCAACGCTACTATCAAAATGATTTGTGTTATAGCTACAAAATGTCAACCATAACCATGGCATTTCTGGCTTAAAAAGGTAGACCCTTGTAGACCCAATAATATACTGTACAGTTACAGTACAGTACACAATAGATCCTTTCAAGCCCAATAATTGCACAAGTATATGGTTAAGAACATTTTGAAAATTAGACCGACGCAAACACTTCCTTCAGTAAGTGGGGCAATGAAATGGGATTTAACGTCCTACTTTTCTGCACCGCCTGGGATAATGAAAACGGGCATACGCTGTGAGGGAAGTTTTGCCCGGGCAGCGGCGCTACGGCCTACTCTTATGAGGAAAATTTTGTACGGACAGAGCCATTGCGGTCTACTCTTATTTCGAATTCCAACTGTCAAGGGTGCTTTTACGCACGGGCCAATGTGTCAACGGTGTTTCGTACAATCTGAACGACTAGACACTGTTAATTGTCAGACCCTTTGACCTGCACCACTGACAAGGGGAAACCACGCTGGGTGCCAACTGGACTAAGACTAGTACGAATGTAGTGCGAGTTATAAATAGACAATTTTTCCCTTAATTTTTTTCTCCCCTCTTCCTGCATTTTTGGGTTGACTTTTTGGTCTAGAATTGGAGAAAAGGGATCAAATTTGCAATTTCATAGCAGTTTTGGGTAATACTGATGATATTACAGCGGAGGGATAGGGGGTGTAAAGTGTCTTTCTGCAGAGCAATCATTGTGTCGGAAGTAAGATTTTCACCCCAGTCAACTTCAAATCCGTGTAGCAAAAAATCTAAATGGTCAACCCCCTACAAAATTATGTTGAGGAGATTGCCAAATGTTGTCCCCATTGTGCCTATAAAGATTGGAACCAACGGAATGTTGAGAAAAAAGCTACAGCCTGTGATGTTACAGCCATTTCACATTGAAGTCAATGGGCAAATAATTGCTAGTCTAAGACCAACTATAAGAGACATCATGATTATCGAGTCAATGTCTAACTCACTGAGGGAAAGTAAAGGGGACACGACTCGAAAGCAGATACCAACGTGTAAAAACTGTAATCCAAAACACACAATTGACTCTTCTGAGTTGATCATGAAATAACGTCAAAATTAGACAGGGGTGATTCATGGGAAACCGGCCAACAAACACGTTCAAGTCTAATATTAAAGGACAATATTGGTGCAGTCATTATCACATATGTAATAGAGCTGGTTAAACACATTCCAAATATAATTTTAACACAGAGATCATTGCTACGATAGCTGAGTAATACAGGTTTCCTGAATCGAAAGTGACGAACGCCAAAGGAAAACACGAGTCATACCTAA